AGGTCGTCGGCGTCGGCGTCGGCGATCCGCCCCGGTCGGGATCCGAGGCAGAGCAGGCGGACGAGGCTAGAACAGCGGGCGATGAAGAAATACAAGTATCCTCCGCGAAAGTAGTAACGGGTGAATTGATAACGACGACGACGACGACGACAAATCGCAACTACTTATAAAGCTCACTGAGGGCCTACGGTCAAACTGAATGCGCAACGCTGGTCGAGACGAAGGGTCCAGGCCAAACTTTAAGGGCGACAAGCGTGCTCAACGACTCCCCATGACCACGGGAGTAGATAGAGGTACATGGGTGGCTATGACGAGCTGCTGGGCCGGGGAGGTGTGTCGACTTGCGCCGACGACCTCGGCCCTTTGAGACTGCGACCCAGCCAGCCGGCGGACCAGCCAAGCTGTGTTCGGCTAATCGGTGAGCACTTAGGGGCTTCGACACTGGATTACTTAAGCATGGATGCAAAGTGGAGTGGTTCGGCATCTGCAGACCAGTACCTACGGTACCTACCTACCTACTCCCCTTGTGGCGTGGAGGACATGGACCGTGGGTGAGACAAAAAAGACGGCTGGCTCATCGGACAAGACCACAGATGAATGAGATGCAGCCCCAGTCGCTGGAAAATCCCACTCGTTCAGCACTTGAAGGCCTATGTCGACGCGTCTGACTTCTTTCTACCTAAGACAAGTCAGGTAAGTCAGCAACTGCAGACGCACGCACGGCAGAGATATGCCTTAAGCAAAGGTGTCTTGTCGGAAAAAAAGATGTGCACAGTGACCAGCCAGCAAGCGATTCCGGGCAGGCGGTGCGCCGCGTCGAATTGTTTCAATTTTCTCACTCATCTATGCTTCGAAATTAGCAGCCAAGGTAACATAGTTTGAATTACTCTAGTCAACCCACTACGGCCTTCATCATCACTGCTGTACTTGCTGCTGCCCTGTGTCGGGTCGGACTGTTGGTTTTGCTTTGCACAGCCTCCATCCGGCGCCCGTCCCGCTAGGTCCGTCTCATCCCACCAACCCAATAACGGGGCCTTCCCTCACATACGTAGATTCCTCTTACCAACCACGCGCCTACCTACCCAGGAAACCCTCCCCTGCGCAAACCCTTGCCATCCATAAGATGTCGGTCGTGCCCTGATCTTCCTCTCCTTGAATCAGGGTCAGATCGAGAGCTAACCGCAGAGCAAGAGCAGCTTGACCCAATGTTCTAGTTGGAATCACAGTCTTATGTCATGTGTCTGCAATAACCTCGCTGCTGGCTGGTTGATGCTTAATTGCTTGCCTCTTCGCCTCAGGATCTTGGAAGCCTTACGACCTGCCTCATTGAACCTGCTTCCTCCCGCACATCGGCGAGCTTGGCCATGCTGCTTGCTCCGTCGACACCATGGAAGCAAGAGCTCTTGTGAGTGAGACATATTGAAGTTGTCCCACACCGACATCGTCGTCTTAAAAAACACGATCTGCTGACCAAATACGGCCCGCGGTTTAGAGAGAAGAGGCCCTTATGGCCAGATCGACAGGCCGCGAAGCGCTGAACCACGCTATTGCTGCCGCCGACTTGTACATGAAAGCTGCGAAGGAGACAACTTCGCAGGCTGACCGCGGCCGCTTCAGAAAAAGCTGTGAGAGGCTCATCGCCCATGCTGAGAAACTAAAATACAGCCCGGTTGCCACAGCTTCTGACAGCCTAAGCGCCAGCTCTTCCTTGACTGGTAGTTCTCGCTGTCAGGTGCGTCAGATTCCTACTGGGGAGCGTGCAATCCTCCTTCGATCATCTCGTCTGCATGGCAACATCTTCCCTCCGTGGCAGACCGACCCTGCCGACGACGTGTTCAGCCCATCTCAGGGGTTTCAGATCTTCAAGTGAGTGCTATAGACCTTGAAGCCAGTCTGGTCACGTCCTGGACCGACTTGCGTCATCTGATAGCCGGCTGCGTCACTCACACCCAGAACCCAGAGACCCTGCCGACTTTACCATGTCAGCACGTCAAGAGGCTATTCTTGATGGTTGGAAACGACCGGTCGAAAAAGCAATGTCAGGCTCCGTAGATGACAATTTCATGGGCACCAAAGGTGAATGCGACCTAGTGCAGGACATTACAACCGATTGCTCTGTGGTAGCTAGCTTGTGTGCTGCCATGCGGATTCTCCTCGGCAAGAAACACTCTGTGGGTAGCATATCGTACCAGCGCAGATCAACTTGCTAATCGTGCTGGCCATATAGATACTCGGTTCCATCATGTTTCCATTCGATCATGACATGGGTAGACCGAGAATCTCGAGCAACGGAAAGTACATTTTTCGGATGCACTTCAACGGCTGTTTCCGCCAAGTCGTGGTTGACGACCGGCTTCCGGTCTCGCGGAATAATCGTACCCTATTCGTCGTGGACCGTCTGAACCCGAACCTTTTATGGCCAGCTCTCATGGAGAAGGCCTACCTCAAAGTACGCGGAGGTTATGACTTTCCAGGCAGTAACTCCGGCACGGACCTGTGGGTTCTCACAGGTTGGATCCCCGAGCAGCTTTTTCTGCAGAGGTGCGTAAGAATTCTACAAGACCGCGGTACGGTCAGTTGCAGCCGGTGAGGATAGCTGACGAGGCGACATAGTGAGGACGTTGACCTCGAAGGCAAGTGGGAAGAAATCAAGGAAGAATACCATGCTAGCAACCTTATCATAACTCTTGGTACCGGCCGCTTGACTCCTTCTGAGGAGGATGCTCTCGGCCTCGTGGGCGAGCATGATTACGCCGTGCTCGACATTGACAATTCACCGTCAGCCCGTCGTCTTCTGGTCAAGAACCCTTGGTGTGACGGGCTCGTTTGGAAAGGAGTGGGTTCTTCTGGGCTGGCTGAGGCAACGGCGAGCCTGCCATTGTCCAAGGCACATATCTCCGTCGAAACTCAATCGCCGGAAAACTCCCGCCCTGTGGGCTCTTTTTGGATATCCGTCGACGATGTCGCCCAGAACTTCGAGTCCATGTACCTGAACTGGAATCCGGACATGTTCACGCATCGACAGGACCATCATTTCACATGGCGCGTTCCGTCACAGAACATGACATCCTCATTAGCTCACAACCCGCAGTACTCTGTGAGGTCTCGAACTAAGGAGACAGTGTGGATTCTACTGAGTAGACACTTTGCAGATGAGGAGCTGGAAATTGCTCGAAAGAGATCTGCTTCACTAGCTGCCGTATCTAGGCAGTTGGGTTTCACCAGCATCTTCATATTCGAGAATCAGGGCAAAAAGGTCCAAGTCAGAGAGGGCTATGCGTACCAGGGGCCTTACGTTGACTCGCCGCAGACGCTGGCCAAATTCCAGCTCCACGCTGGTAAGCCGTACACCATTGTCATGGCCCACCAAGACCTGCCACTGGAAAATTACACCTGCACTTTTACATTGTTCTCCAGAGCCCCGTTGGAGGTGAAGCCTGCCGAAGAGGAAATGAGCTACTACAGGGAACTGTCGAGCGCATGGACTAGGAGGACTGCGGGGGGCAATGCGTCTTCAATAACGTACTCTCAAAATCCCCAGTTCAGCATATTCATTCCTCGAGCAACGCCACTGTCAATTCTCCTCTCCTCGGCAGATCGGGAGGTGGCTATCCATGTCGACCTAGTCTGGGCACACGGGAAGAGGGTCACTTCCATCGGCGTCAAGGACGTCGTTGCTAGCTCGGGTGACTACCGAAGAGGGAACGCCCTCGTACAGGTCCCAATAGTCGATCCGGGTACATATACAATCGTCTGCTCAACCTGGGAACCAGGCCAGCTCGCTGACTTTGGGATGCGTGTGGGATCACTCGCTGAATGCCAGGTTCAGCCCATCCTGAATGACGGGGCCGGCCTTCTGCGCATTCGAACGCCGACCTTCGTCTTCAATGAAGGGGAGGAGCAAAGGAGAGCGCTGGTGACAGTATCAAGACTCACCAGAGCGCAGGTTGTCGTACGCTGCCCTATATTGACGGGACGTCACAGTCAGCACATACCAACGACTGCTGTTCGCGTGTCTCTCGTATACGGGCGTGGTCCTCAAGAATCGGTCCTCACGGTGTCCGGAGGCGGCGAGTTTCGGGAGCTCACCATGGCGGTACGAACACCCGAATTTGACATTGAGCCGGACCGGCTCCTGCATGATCAACTGTGGATTGTGATTGAACAGCTTGGGAGTCGCCAGGGTTTCCACAACATTGAGGTTGAGTTCCTCAGTGAGAATGTAGTCCAAGTCGGCGACTGGCAAGTCGTGGATGGCCTGAATTGACATTTCCTTCTATCCACCAGGAGAAACAAAGATCACGGTTTGTGAGAGAGATGTATGTACTAGCCATGAACCTTGTACATTATGCCATGTGTGTTGTGTCTTTTTCGGCCATGTTCCGACGATATGCGTCCATCTGCGCCCATCCCGGAGGTAACAAGAGATATATGGACGCTGCGATATGTGGTAGTCTGTATCGGAACTTGGAGGATGTCATGGTGCTTGTAATGGTTACTTTTGTGACGATCCCCAAGGACGCTCTCGCAAGAGAGCCTGGGGCCCGGAGTGAGGTAGAAAACTAGAATGACGAAACTAAAACCAAGAAACAAGGCAGAACGTGACGCGACGCGAACGACTCGTCAATGTGGTATATAGTCCACCGCAACGCCAGAAACCCTTTGGATCAAGACAGAACAATTCCCGTCGTGAACTCGTGCCGTGCCAACTTAATGGGCCTCATGATCTGTACCAAAAATGCCTCCCTCCTCGCAAATGAATAACGAAACGCAATAAAAGTGGCCAAAAACAAAAAAAACCCAATCGCAAATTCTGCATCGTAGCCCTCAGCTCCGTGGGCTAGAACGAAAGCCCCCTATTTACAACCGATCCGGTCATGGTCCCAAAGCCTGATTTCGTCTGGCTCGATATGTCGAAATTGGAGCACCAGGAACCTAGTGGGAGGAAGGAAAGAAAAAAGTATCTACGAGAAGTATGAATCAGATTCTGTCCTAGTATGTTAAGCAGGCCCTCCTCTGCGCCGTCTGCCGCGGTTGGGCCCGTCCGGCCGCTGGGAAAGGACCTCCCTTAACAGCGGGTCATCTTTGTCTTTGTCCACGTGATGGACTCTGACATGTCTTTAGAACATAGTTAGACAAATAAACCTGTAAGACGAAGGGAGAAGACCGAAGCACTGCATTACAGGGTTATCATACCTTTGCAAATTGTCTGGTCTCGGGTATTTATGCTCTCGATCCGGACAGAATGGACATACATATCCTGGGGAGTCGTGTACAAGCCCGTGTCGAATCATCTCATTCTTTCGCTTGAAGCCTTTCCCGCCCTCACTGCGAGGACAACCCTTGACAGAACAGTAGTGCGGTCGGGCAGAGGAGTGGACGTTGGCATGTGAGTTCAGAAGGTACTGAGTCTGGAACGGCGCAGCGTTACATCCAGTGAACGTACATACGTATCCCGCCGGAGGATTCGTGAGGCCATCGATGCTCATACGATCTGCTACTGAATTGGCTGGTGTTGATGCGGTCTGGTCGGTACTAGGAGTTTCGGCTGTGCCGCTACTGTAATCGGCGCTGGGCCTATGCGGGCCACCACCACTTGACGAGGAATAGTAGTACGGGCTTACAACAGGAATCGAATGTGCAGGTGATGGAAGTTCCCTTCGGAAACCTTCATTTGGTGAAATCGGAGGAGAGGCATGTCCACCTGGCAGACCGGCTAAGGACGGCAGCCGGGGGAGACTTGCAGGAGGCGATCGTGGAAAGGAGGGTGCATGGCGAGCCGGGCCCATGTCTTTGTCTGGACTCATGGCTGATTCTGTTAACCGTTTGAAGTCACCGAGTTGTGCTCGTATGGATGGCAGTGGGCCATGACCACCGCCATCCGACTTGGGCGAGTCCAATAGAGGAGGTAGCCCTCCAGGGGCAGACTGAGAGGGGCTAACCGGCGACGTGATGTCAGGCTTGTGTAGTGAAGGTCCCGCGTGTTGAGAGGGAAGTTTGTCCCCAATTGAGTACACAATTGCGGGAGCAGCGAGACCCGGGCGCTCGTCACGAATGGGCAGTTCTAGGCTGCTTATCCCCACGACCGTCGTCTCATGTTGACCTCCAGTCCCATCTTTCGAACGCAAAGGCTCGTGCTTCGCTGTCACAGCAGCAGCGACAGCAGCAGTCGCGGGAGTTGGCGTCGTGAAGGCCGCTAGAGCACCGGCAGCCAGGGATTTCAGATCAAAAGAATCGGGGGGTGGTGGGCGGTTCATGTTGCGACCAGGGGACTCAGGTGAAGACGAATCGTCTTCGGAGCCGTTGTCAGATGCCAGTGGCTCCAGGGCAGCAGCGTGAGCTATTTCTGGCTGTCTGCCGTTTCCAAGATGAGCAACTAGCACGGCATCGCCCTGAATGGGTTCGACCTTGCGGCGACCGTGAGGTGGTTTTCGATCGGAGCTGAAAGTGGGCGGAGGGCTGGGAGAGGGCAACAGTTTGGGACGATGAGGCTGCATCTGGGGACTATCGCGGGGGAGAACGTCATCGGGGTCGTAACAATCGGTCGCAGATGGTTGGCGGAAGGAATTTGGAGTAGCCGACGCAGTCATAGTTGTCGCGACTGAAAAGATATGTGGCTCGCGGCGCAGACGGTATTAAGCCGCCATGAGGGAGAAACGGGTCGAATGCGAGCGGCGGCAGCAGCGCAGAAGTAGCAGCGCTGCACCAGTGGGAGCGACAACGATGAAGCCAAATACGCACGGTCTGCTGCGCCTATGGAGGAGATTTTGCTCACAAGGCTGAACGCCTTGTTGCCGTCGTCGTCGTCTTCGTCGTTGTTCTTGTTGACAAGTTGGTCTAGTTGATCTTTGGAATTCGAAGGGAGCAGCGAAGGACGCTGTTATCGAGGCTGCGAATGACGATGTTGGCCTGCCCGTCGTTGGGGGCGGGGGTCTTGAAGTCGTATGGGTATGCGTCGCGGATTCGGCCACGAAGACAGCTGTCGCCGCCGTCGTAGGCTACGGAAAATATACAGCCGTAGATGCCGTCCAGCTTCTTCTGAAAAGCAGTGTATGAGGCAGGGTCAGTGAGTATGGAGGTGTGCCGGGAGTCAGAGGATGGTATACGGCAGCGGTTGGATGTCAAAACGGAGGTCGGTGTGGCCTGGTAGCAGGGGGTGTGGGGGAGATAGTGATCAGGAGTGAGCGCGCCGGGGTTCAGTCGGGGTAGATGGGCAAGAGCGTCGTTTTTTGGCGGATAAAAGAGGGCGCCCAGGAATGTGTGGACGGTAACCATGCAGATGGGGTATGGCGGACGAGGGTGGTCGGAGGTAGCGAAAGTGAGGTGCAAGAAAGCGCGCAGCGTGGTGGTCAAATCGAGAAGACGTCTGTAAGGCCCGGTAGATAGCAGTAATGTTTAGTGAGTAGTGTTGACGGTAGAACGGCGAAAAAGGGCGGCGATGCTTCCGTAAGTAGGCAAGGCCGGTATGTAGAACGATGGTGCGAGAAGGTTGGCAAGTGGGCGGCCCAGTCAGGTAGGTAGGTACCTTCGCCTTTGGCCTTAGGACCTCAGGTCAGGCTGGTCAGCACAGGTGGGTGAGTCGAATCGCCGGATCTCGAGGTCGATGTTAACGTCGAAGTCGCGGTCCGAGGTGTAATTGCGGTGGTTGTCTGTCGTTTTCTGGGCGCAGTTTCGGGGCAGCGCTATGGCAAACCAGCCAGGCGGCTGTTAAAAAGGAGGAAGCGAAGAGCCGGGACGATTATTCGCAGGTGTGTGTATGTGTGTGTGTGTGTGTGTGTGTGTGTGTGTGTGTGTGTGTGTGTGTGTGTGTGTGTGTGTGTGTGTGTGTGTGTGTGTGTGTGTGTGTGTGTGTTTTCTTGTTTTGTCTGACGATGGTCCGATGGATGTGTCTTTGAGAGGCAGCACTGGTTTGCTTTAGCGCATAATCTCTTGGGAGTGTATGGGAGATACGCCCAGTGCCACAGATAGATTCGAGGGACCGCGTGACCCCAGTGATGGGGAAGAAGGGGACGTGGAGTCCACCAGACGAAGACACACGAGATGCCGTGTTCTCAACTGAGCAGGGGTGCGGGAAAATCAGACATGGGGATTGGGGGAAACCAGGCGTGGACGTGGGAGCGAGAGTGGGAGGTACCTAACATACGGGACATGGACGACGTGTGGAGTTTGGAGGTACGAATACAAACATGAGATGGGGAAAGGAAGGGTCTGTTGCTAAGAACTTGGGGCGGCACGAAGCAGAAGGTGCCTTGCGAAGTTGCGCTGTCAGATGAGGCTAAAGCCATGTGCCGCAGTGTATCGGTGAAGAGTCGCAGCAAGTATCGGGGGCAAAGCTACCTGCAGATACCTTCCATGCCTCGCCATCCTTCCTCTGCCCTACGTTACCTTGCCTTGCCTCACCAGCCGCCCGCCCTGCCTCGCTGCTTTTGTCCTCCTCCCCTCTAAATCCAGTCGAAAAGGAAGGCCCGGCTTATGGAACGGATACATGGCACGTCGTTCTGTCCGTCATCTGGCTCCTCATGCAATGGTACCAATCACAACTTTCAGCCAGGAACAAGCGGCACTACCTTGAAAAAGTGCTAGATGCAATGGTAGGGTGCCCAAGAAGGAGTAAGCGTCGCACCCCTACGTCGTGCAATTGGCTGGATCCTTGGGTCCCTGATTGAAATACAATGCTCATGCTCATATTCATGCTCATCCTGGAGCGGGGAAGGCAAGATGGGATGGAACCTTGGGGCTTGGTTACTTGGTAGGTAGCTGCCATGCTATCGCAGCGCGCGGCATCCTGCCATGTTATCTTCGGGGGTGGAATGGAATAATAGAATGAGGATTGGGAGCGAGGGCGTAGTGAGGGGAAGTCGCCTGCGCGGGAAATGGAATACTTAGTACCTGAAGTGAAGAAGTAATTAACAGCGGTGCTGCTGGAGCTGGAGTTGGAGCTGGAGTTGGAGCTGGAGCTGGAGCTGGCGTCGGTGCCAAATAGCCGCACCCAAAGCACTGGATGGAAAACGGGATGGAAGTGGAGGCTGAAGACAGGGATTTGTCCAGGTACTCGTAGGTACTGCCTCTAGGCCAAGCCTGGCGTTGCCATACCTAAGGTAAGGTAGGTAAGTGCCAATCACGACGGGCTTGCCCATGATCATAACATCTAGGCCGTTGGCGCAAACTCTGTTTGATGCCTTGTCCGCCAAGCTGCAACGTAGGTGCCGATACTGTAGCTACCTTATATGTGCACCATTACTGGCTGCCCATGATTGGCGATAGTTACTTACCACCGTCCCTCGACTGGCTGACGGGCACCATGAACGTTGTGAAGTGCCTTAAAATCAGATAGGTAGCTACGGAACAGCACGAAAATCTACCTGATCTACCTTACATGCCCCATAAGGACAGCATCCGTGGGAGCCATCACCACCGCCCTCTCCATCTCTTTTCCTGTCTCTCTTTCTCCCCCTCCTTCCCTCCCCCATTTCCCCACCTGTCCCTCTCTCCAACAGTGAAGGGCCAAGGTCCAAGGGCCAATGCAGGGTAGGAGCACAATATTTCTTTTGTTCTGTGATTGGCCGCTTTTGCCGCGTCCATCCAATTGCGATGCTGACAGCCCGGAAGATCCACCGCAGACCCGCCAGTGCCCGCGATGAGCCCATGCACTCGAGCCGCTAAGCCTCTAAGCCTCAATCCATTAGGCGGATCATCCAAGGGGGAGCCTGTCCATCATCGTTTGATTGGACAACACGAAGAAGCCAAGAAACAGACCCCGGTCGTCTCTCCAGAGGCTGGGGTTGGCGCTGGACGAGTCACGGTGTTGACGTGCCGCGACGGATCGCTTGAGGTGAGAGGTGAGGTCTTTTCGAGTACTCCGCAGTGCCAAGTTCCAGAGCACACAGAACATAAGATCACATACCTGGGTACGGATAAAGCACGCGCTCTGCTCTGGGCACAGTCGACCACAGACCAAGGGCTATCCGGTTTCGTTCCGTCTCCAGGTTGAGGAGCGGTTGGATCCCTATGTTACTATAATTCAGCACATGTAGGGAGGGTGCTCACTCACTGGTGGATTGACTAGGCCAGGCCAAACCCGATGCCAAATTTCGGCTTCACCCCGCGTTTTTGTTTAATGAGAGTGCAATCCCTCGTTCGGTCTACGGGGGAGGAAGGGGGGAAGCCTCATCTAGGTATCAAAGTCCGCCGCGCCGCACCTGGGATCCCTCTCGCAACTTTTGAACCACCTTTTTAGACAAGAGCTGGTACAGGAGACGACCGCCGGCTTTGCGCCTCACCGCCAAGTCCGGTGAACTGGGCCGGCTCAGGCACTCGGTCTCAGTCTCGGTCGTACCCGCCCAGGACGCCTTTCGATGGCGCGCAATCTCACCCCGGACTACCTTTTACCTGCCTGCCGCCTTACCCCAGACGGGGGGGTTTCTTCAGCGGAACGGCGGCTGCCAGCCTCGGGTTCGTGGAATCAGCATCTGTCCATTTTTGCCTTAGGTAAGCACCGGCCCAATGCTGTGTCTCTTCCCCTTCTCTTCTCATTGCCTGTCAAGGTTACCTCGACTTGACAGCCGGTCTTTCCCCCTCATTAACGTGAGATGAACCTCAACTTGCGACCTTACTCGCTTCCTGCACTATATCATAGAATACCATGTCATATTCTCATGCGTAAGATAGGTCATTAGCGATGTCTACTGCGGTATGTATAATGGCTTATCGGCCAATATTGGCAAACTCCTGCCAAGTCTCTATACGTGAAAAACGCCCATCCTAGACCACAGTCGTTCCCTCTCTATTCATCAGCAGACTCACACAACTTGCGCTTGATCTGACCTTGCTGCCTCAGTCTCGCAATTTTTGTGTTGATACCTGAGTCTCCCTGGCGCCGGTCATTTGAGTTTATCATGGCTGGGTTTATCAAGATAATAGAGCAAAGACTGTGCGCAGAGTCCTCTTTTGCACAGTGATGCCCTACTACCGGGTGCGATAACGGAGCCGAGGCGAACTGCAACGTGGAGGGGAGAACTGCAACACACCACACACCATTCTAACAACCACCAAATTGACCAACAGCCTCGGCTCAGTTACTCATTCGTCATTGCTATAATTTGGCATACTCTTGATCAGCCCGACTTTCTCGTCTCGTCGTGAAACCCGGTCCCTGACGTATCGATCTGCTTCATCCATTTCCGACCCCGCCATGTCAGCTGCCGGTTCCATGCTCGCCGTCGTTTTCAACGGCCCCAAGAACATTTCTGTCGAACAACGGCCAATTCCTACCAGTCAGTACAGTAGTTTCAAACCGCCGGCTAGTAAATATTGACAACCCAACAGTCCAACATGAGGAGGATATAATCGTCAAAGTGCAGATGACGGCGTTGTGTGGCTCGTAAGACGCTCTGCGCCTTAATCAGCATTGCGCTCTCACCATTCAACTGACAGCGCCCTAGGGAGCTGCATGTCTTCCGCGGCCACCAGCCGTCTGATACCGGATTCATCATGGGCCACGAGTTTACTGGCACAGTTGTGGAAAAGGGTCCTGGAGTATCTTCCCTCGAAATTGGTGACCGGGTGGTGACTCCTTTCACGACCTCTTGGTCAGTTCTGACAACCCTTTACAACCGTGGATTTCGGAACTGATAAAACCTCTCTTGGCCAGCATGCAGTGCTTCTACTGCGACAAAGGCTACTCATCCCGTTGCGTCAACAGTAAGCTGTTTGGTTGTCCCGCTCTCGATGGCGGGCAGGCCGAATATGTGCGTGTCCCTCACGCAGATGGCACCTCCATGAAGGCCCCAAGTACCATCTCCGATAAGGCCTTAATCCTGATGGCCGACATTTTCCCAACTGGTTTCTTCGGTGCGAAGAGTGGTTTCGCCATGCTTAAGGATAAGGAGAGATCGGATGCTACTGTTGTTGTGATCGGTTGCGGCCCAGTCGGTCTTTGTGCCATTATTGCCGCCCTCGAGTATCGTCCCAAGCATCTCTTTGCCATTGACAGTGTCGATGGTCGCCTGGATTTGGCCAAAAACTTGGGCGCGGAGCCCTTGAACTTCATGACAGACCGTGCCGGAATGGAGAAGCAGATCAAGGAGGTGACGGACGGTCGTGGAGCTGATGTTGTCATCGAGGTTGTTGGCCTCTCCCCTGCACTGAGGACGGCATACGATGTGGTCAGACCATTTGGCGTGATCAGCAGCATTGGCGTCCACAACGCTGAGGTGAGTAGCCGACATCAAACGTCACATACTGTATGGCGTGCTGATTGGAGACGCAGATACCGTGGAACGGAGATGAGGCGTATAGGTGAGTATATTAACCCAACAGTGAACCCGCATTGCGCTGATACCTTCGAAAGCAAGAACCTGCGGGTCCAGATGGGGCGCTGCCCCGTGCGATCCATCTTCCCAGAGGCTCTCGCCTTGCTGGAGAAGAAGCAAGACAAAGTTGGGTAGGTCAAGATTGTGCTGTATTTATCCGACAAGCCCTGCAGGGCAAAAGCGTCATCCTAGCTTCACAATCTGACCGTGGCCAGGTTCATGTTCGACCGCATCATGCCTTTGAGCGATGCTGTTGAGGGATATGCGCTATTCGACCAGATGAAGGTCCAGAAGGTAATCTTCACGCCGTGACCAGGTCGCTCGAGCCGTTGAGTCACCGGCTATGGTACCACTTCGGTAGGCCCTTGGGTGTCACCAATTTACCGCTGCCAAGCTGGGTTGGGATGGACAGAGTAAAACGCCAGGAGAAGGAAAAAAAAAGTCGGGTCGGGTGCAGTGGAGGTCTTTAATTTTGCCTAGGCTTCACGATGCCTTCGTGCATGAGATAGTAGGAGACGGTCGAGTCATCGTGGACGACGGCAAGCAACAATCTCTTTTGGCGACCTGCACCACGCCAGTCTCTGCCCGAGGTTGCATCTGAAGTATCTGCCGAGTGGGCCATACGAGGTAGGGCATCGATGGAATCAAAAATGTTTGCGAACGAAGATAACGTCCACTGTTCGCTCAAATGAACCGGTAGAACCCACTCAAACTCTGGCGCTTGGCTGGAGCGTTTTCCTGTGAATTGTTCTTTCTCTAGGATCTCAATTTGCTCGTCGGGATGGATATATAGCCTGGTCGGCGGTAGACCGGTGATGACGGGTCGTGGGCGAGGTCGACCATCATCGTGAAGTTGCACTTCAGTCCAGTCATGTTGGTCCGTGAGGTTGCTGAGCACCAGAGCGGTCAAGTCGAGAAGATGTTGTTCAACAGCCATACTGAGGTGCGACCTGCGATGGGCCAAGCGTCGTGGATGGGCTTCTGTCGGAATGGAGTCAGGAATGAGGTCAGGAAAACAATGCTGACTGATGAATTCTACTATGAAGAGTTCTCAAGGTTCTCAGCCTGTTGTGGGTTGTCTGGTTGCAATAATATCCACCAATAATTGCATACAAAACTCAGTAGACCGCAAACTTAAGATATGCACGTATCGCGGCGATTTTTCGATGATCTTCGGTAACAACATGAACTTGAAAGCTCACCTCCTTCCCAACCCTAAACTTCAGTAGAGAGATACCATCGCGCAAGAGTTTTCCCTTTTGCCCTTTTTTTTTTTTTTTTTTTTTTTTTTTTTTTTTTTTTTTTTTTTTTTTTTTTTTCTCTTNGGTTTTCCCTTTTCCCCTTTTTTTTTTTTTTTTTTTTTTTTTTTTCTTTACCTTCTTCTCCTTGTTTTTACCCTGTGCTATTACCTGTGATGTCCAGTTCCATTCCAAGCTACAAGGGCAGGAGTCTCGGCTCGACCGGCCTAGACCTGCCTAGCTGTATTGTCGCATAGTGAACCGCGGCGCTTGGGTGCGTGCCACTCGTCAGAAAAAACGACCGCCTTATGAGGATACCCCCTCTTCTCTCGTGCTATACTATAGCGTAACTTACCGATAAAATAAGTTACTGGTATAGAAATGATCCTGAAGACTGGAATTAAATTCTGAGCATTTTATTCTCTTTTTATTTCCTCATTTGCGGGCTCAGTAGCTGCTGTGATTTAGGGTGTCTGAGAAAGCGGCCAATTTTTCTGACGACCGAGTGGGTGCATAGATTTGGGCAGGCCAAGGCACCGTTTTCAGCTGCTTTTCCGTCGGGGCGCAGGGAAGATGAGACAACGTGCAAAGCAAGCTTAGGCAAGGGCCACTGGCGCAAGCTGATTGAGTACTCGACCAACATGGGCGTCAATCTGAGGTGCTTGAAAGACTTTCCGAGGGAGCCTCAACGGTACCTGCCAATGGCTACTCTTCAGTGTCTGGCGCAACCGATGCGTTTGTTAAATGGCCCTTCGTATTTGTAAATTGAGTACAATTGATCGGGGGATTGGCATGTTGTCTGAGAGATGTAATGTTTAAGTGTTCGTCGACTTAAATTTAGAACTGCAAAATCACAGAATTCCCAGGGAGGGAAGAGAATTGGGGGTGACATAGAAACAAAAAAAAGAGCACAGTAGAATAGACAAGTGAAAAAGAAAAGAAAAAAAAAAGAAAAAAAAAAGGGGGNGGCGGGGGGGGGGGAAGAACTGCAATCTTGGAAGCGTCTACGGCTTAGGTTGCACAGCTTTCCTTGCAGAGCTACGTAATAGTCGGGCTCTAGACCAACCAGCGGCCGCTGAAATGTTTGAAGAGGATGCCTGACCTCACCGCGCAGTTCACTTTCTGTAGCGGGATAGCGGGCGGGCTCTCGGAGCATTCTGAGTGTCGCATCACGTACGCGTATTGACGTAACTGACCAGACATGCGACGGCTATTTGCTGGCTGACAGCCCCTGCAAAGCTGGTGCTTGGGCACGTCGTTTCCGCCGTATAGGCCAATTGGAAGTCTAGAACGGCCTGCATTGTACGCCCAGGGCACCACCTCATCATGAAAACCAAAGTGCCATGAACTGCCACAGCGCCACCGCTTGTGGCCCGTCGCCTCCGCCCCTTTCTCGCTCTCGCTCAGCCCGGCTCGATAAACTCTTGAGCTTTGCCTCAGAGAACAGACGCTTCGCGACGCTTTGCCAACTTGTTCCCTGAACATACCCTTCTTCCTTCCTCCTCATTAAAACTCCAAGTCGAGCCTTCGTTTTGTCAATTGTTGTCGTACCACCTTATCCCAGATACCCTCCCAATCTACCCGCGCTTTGTTTTCTACTTTTCTGCACCGGTGGTTTCCTCTACTTCAGCTTAGTCCATCTATCGCGGCACCACCATCGTCACCACCCCAAATCCAGTACTGATACCTCTGCCCACATAGCGAAATATTCACTTGTCCCGGATAGTAGACACGCCACAGGATAGTTTCGCCAATCGCGAAGCCAGAGCAAGAGTTGACCTCGTCGTGAGGTGCTGCTCACTTCGACCCACGAATCGATACCCGTTCAAGACAGACATGTCCCAACCAGCGTCGTCGCTGAGCATGGGCGAGAAAGAGAGGAACGTTCCTTTAGACCAGTCAACAACAGACTCAAAGGCATCTTCTGAAGTCCAAAACCATGCCGATGTTAATAAGAAGCACGGCATCGAAGGCACAGAGAGAATCCCAACAAATGCAGCTCAGACGACTGTCGCTACCGCCGAGAAGGATCTGTACGAACCCTACGATAACGGATATCACTTCCCTCCCAAGCACAACTGGAAACAATCTCTGCGAATAGGTGCGATGGCTTTTTGGAATTACATGTGGACACCGATCGGCTTCTTCGTTGTTCTTTATGGTCTCAACGTCGTTGCATGGGGCGGCATGTTGTTCCTTTTACTTTGCAATGCGTCGCCAGCCATGTGCTACCCAACATGCAACGACATCAACTCCCCACGTCGCAAGTGGATCGAATGGGACTCACAGATCGTCAACGCTTTGTTTTGCGTCACTGGTTTTGGACTGGCACCTTGGAGGTTTCGCGATCTGTACTTTCTTCTGCAATACCGCGTCCTCCGCAAACCAGAGGCACTCTGCCGCCTGGCCGGCATACACCGCGGTTGGTTTCGACTTCCAGGCTCCGAAAAGCTCCCGGTCAACGTTGGGCCGGAAACGGTAATTCAACTCTCGGACGACCGGCCACTTCTGCATATTCCGCATCCCGAGAAAGCAATCCCAAATCCACCATTAACAGGTGTCAGAGCGCCACCTACTGCCATATGGAAGATGGACTTTGTTATCTGGTTCAACGTGTCGAATACATTTCTGCAATGCGTTCTATCGGGGTTCATGTGGGGTATGAATCGGTATAATCGGCCCAGCTGGGCCACGGGCTTGTTCGTCGCCCTAGCCTGCATCGCCGCTGCTACGGGTGGTCTGATGATGTTTCACGAGAGCAAAAAGGTCAAGAGCATTGAGGGTGTCACAGTCAGTAGAGATGATCAGGAACGGCTGGCGAGGGATAAGGAGTTAGGCATTCAACATTACAACAACATCAGGGATAAGCCCCCCAAGGAGAAGAAATAAACGTGGTAGTTGGTCGTAGTTTTTCTGCGGTGCCAGGTGAATAGCACAGATATAACATTCAGTAATACTGCTAAAATAGTGCGAATCAAGAATTCCTGCTTCCTTGTCATCAAAAGATGCTGAGTGCGGCGCATCCCAAGCCTAGTGACATCGAGGCGGGATTGTGCGTCACATTGTTGGTCATGGGTTATTGGTTTTGACATCTTCATCCATGGGACAGGGAACTTGGATCATATCACTATTCGTGCCAAGAGCTGCCAGGAACTGAAGGCTCCAGTTACTTACTGAGCACTCACGTCGGGATGATCTGGTGGCACGAGACATCATTTTGGATGGGCCGGGATTTGTATCGAAGCTAACCACTGCCAATGTCGTTTTGCAGCTTTGTTTAAGCCTCATATGCGAATGCCGAATGGGTATGTATGTAATGCATGCAATACAAGACGACTGACTACTGCTCAACAAGGAGGTCTAGGCAATGGAAGTGAACAACGGTGCCAAGACTGGATACGGACAAGAGCCAGCTAAGCTCCTTTCCAAAGTAATATTATAGATGAGGAATAATAGGCTTGCTGACTTTCCTAGAATGTCAGGCACTGCATTCATGAACACAACACAAAGTGCGATCTTTCACCCTTACGCCTTCTTCAGAACATCCGATGCAAACATCTACGAAGTACCTGGCCTGGGGTCACATGGGAGGCCCACGGGTTCATGGACAATGGCTGTGGGGATCCAGCCCTGATAAGCGTTAGGTTACCTTGAGGCACCTAGGCTAAGAGTCAGGTGCTTGAGGGTCCCCAGGTAAGGTACCTGCGTTGAGGTACCTTTACCAGACACCTCCCCTGATGAATACGCCGGAGGTTGGTTCCTACGGCGTATGTCCATTGCCATCACAAGATAAGGCACCCAGGAAGGCACCTGAAGGGAACAACTAGGTTCCCTGTTCATCTGCACTCCGCGTTCCATATCCGTGTCCCGAGGGCGCCAGTCTGACACCCGTCCCTCTTCTCAATCGTTCCGAGCCCTTGTATTCGCAGAGGCAGTGCAAACCATTCCAGTTCCCATCCAACCTTTGGTTTCTCAACTACCTACCTATCTACCTTGACATCAGAATCCTGAACTTGACCAACATCGAGAGTCGGTTGTTCACCATCGCCGACGACAACCCGCACTCAACTTTTCCCCCGTCTCGCTTGACACCAGCCTCCGCTCGGCAAGCCACTACATCTCCCTCTGTGCGGCTTTCACCGTCATCCCGAATCCTATCCTGGGCACGCTTCTCTGAAGTGAACCAAAATGGCATCGCGGGCTCTCGTCCCGTTTCTCGTAGCTATGATGCTACTGACGGGTGTTTGCAATACCCTTCTTACCAAATATCAAGCAGGTCCATCCCCCAAAGTTGATTCTTGCCGGAAAGCTAATATTCCTTCTCAGGATATGCAATGTGTCGCAAACTGCGACTTCAAAGACCCTTCAAAGCGATCCTACTTTAATCAGCCGGTCCTCCAAACGGCGCAGATGTTTGTTGGTGAGATGGGCTGTTGGTTGGTAGTAGGGCTAATGAACCTCTATCGCCGATTCGGGTCTGGAGCATCTCGCGAGGGATACGAAGCTGTAAATACCAACGACACGGACGACGCGAACACTGCACTCGTTGCGAACTCTGATGGGAGACCGAAGGCCCAGAGCGACGAAGGCAACGGCGCCATCCTCCGTGGTCCTCGTATCCTCTTGCTGGCCCTCCCTGCTGTCTGCGACATTCTTGGGACAACATTGATGAATATCGGCCTACTCCTCGTTGTTGCCT